TAAGCCGCCTAGAGTAGTCTTAACCGACTAGATAGGCGGGATATAAATAAAATAAATAAATAAAAATAAATGTAGCCTTTCTTCTTAATTTAACCCACTACTGAGATGTACTTTTCTTCAAGACCCTTCACATTCAGAAGTCAACCCTAGGTTGCAAAAGACTTCCCCCTGTGCCCTCTATGTGTGAATCAAAGATACTGTGAAGAAGAAATGCAGCATTATCACTGGAGCCCAAGTAGCTTCTGGAACAAAATCTGCCTTTCACCAGATGAGGCTTTTGTGCCAGCTGCAAGCTTTTAGGGCACAGATAAGCCTGGCCACAGTCAGCCATGCCCTTGATAACCTCTGGCTTAGATCATTTAAAATACATTATACGGTATATCTTTGAAGACTTCTTGGAAACTTCAGTTATTCCAAAATACCATTGCTTGTACAGTATTGTAATTACGACATCATTTTGACAGTCATCAAACAAATGACGATACTGTAGATGCCGACCCCTTTCTCAGCAAAATGCAAACACATTTGTATAATTTTGCACCAAAAGAACTGCTGTGAGATTACTGCTACAGTCCCTCCTCCACTGCTTTCTTTTTCCCTCGTTGTGCCAGGAGCTACTGAAGAAAGGGACTTTTTCACTGGAGTATATTATTTTTCAAATTTCCTTTCTAAAGATATTCATCTATCATTCACTCTTTTGAACTTTCAGAAGCAGGCTAAGATTTTTACATTTCCCCCATGCCTTTTACAATATTATCTGACAGTGATGTTAACAGGTCTAACTGAATTCACTTAATTTTGGTAACAAATTCTTGTTTTAATTTATTGTTAGCCACCCACAGCATACTCAAAGAGAGCACTATCATCATATGGCAGAGAATATATTTTATAAACAGATGCAATTTATGAATAAACAAACAATGTTAAATCAGAAGTCAACAACTATTTTTTCCTTCTGAAAAAGGGAGGCTAATTAAATATGAATAGCTTACCCATTTATCTGATTTCTCATTCCTCCCCTGCAATGAAGATCTGAGTTCTAATTCTCAAACCAGAATCCAGGTTTGTATCAATGTGAGTACTGTCCATAAATGGAGCATTAACTTACTGCCCAGAATTGAGAGCCACCACTAACATGCCTTGGTGTTAGGATATCTATTCTGTGATAGGTATGCACATGTCTTCTCCTCCCACAGTGATACCCTCTTTTCCCTTCGAATTCTAATTTTACTCACTTGTTCAGAATGCATAGTAGTCATACATCTAGCATCTCTCTCTCTCTCTGCTACTGGTCAAGGGGGAGAATCTTTGTGATTTACTATAATTTTCTTTAGTTGTATGTGTGCTCCCCTACAGTGCACCTGATTATTCCCAACAAAAGCACCAGAATGTAGATCACCCATGCTTCTTTTCACTTTCTTTAAATTAAGAATACATCATAATGACATGCTCTTTCTATGTGGTTTCCTAAACAAATAGCACTGTAGTCAGTCAGAATAAAAGCAAGCACAGAGACACAAGTAGCAGAAGCAAACATGTCTCTTAAGTATACAGCCCACCTCTTTATCAAAGCACAGAAAGAAACCAGTCTCAGAATGGAACAGGCACTATACTGCTGTAGTCTGACATATTTAGCAACTTCATTAACCCTGTGACTATGGGATTTAGAAATAATATTTTTACAGAAAAATACTGATACCTATCAGTTCTGCTGGTTTATTTGGTCTCTTGTTGATAAATGTTTCAAAAGATTCCTTCATCAAGTTTATACATTTCTCATTTTTCTGAAAACATACTTCTATGATATGATCCACTTTGTCTTTAAAATCTAGTAGCTCTTGCACCATATCCTTGTCTCTTTCAGGATTTACCACTATTGTTGTCCCAAAGTTCTGCAAAACAAACACTTTTGATAATCATATGTCAGTAGTACTTACCTCCCTTATCTCCTAATATTCCCAAACCTTGAACAATTTCAATGGTCATAAAAACCAGTTCATCACAGTTGCTTTAATGCAACTGAAACATTAGAAACATTAAAGTATGATGAACTGTATTATATATTAAAACAAAATAAAACAGACATTTATATAGATTTGGAACAGCCAATAAGTGCTTTTCTACCAGATGATACTAAATAAACAGACATAGAAAGCACTAGTTCAGATGTAACACTATATCACAATTTAATATTATGAGAATTAACCTAGCTTTCATCAGGGATCATGGGTTCCCCTTCCCTGCTCAACATGGTTAGAAGCTTTAGCTTCTATCAAATCAGAGTGGCCTTTGGCCAGATGGGCAGTATAAAAATGAAACAAACAAACAAAATCAATATGCCCACCCCATTGTTCAGCTTAATCTGTTTAAATAAAACAAATTCATAAATCGTGGACTTGTTTCCACTTATCATAGTTAAGATTAAACCAGATGTTTCATTAAAGTAAAATTAATGGAAGCTTCTAATCTCCTAGAAGGCAGAGAAAACAGGAGTTCTCACATGCCTCCTCCTGTTTCTCAGTGGCCCCCGTTTTGCCTTCTTTTCTGTTGTAACTTACATAACATCATGTTTGTTATTAGAGGGAATGGTAAAATTAAAATAAACCTGCACAAAGGTGTCCGTTCTTTTACAGTATTTATTCTATCAGCCTCATTAGTTACCAGTCTTGTAACCTCAGACCAATCTAGCAATGGGAAGTCACTTTGATTCCCCTCCCCCAATTTTTAGAATATTTAATTATAGACTTTAAAGTTAACAGGTCATGGTAATGATTTGTAAATTATTATTTATTATAACTGATAACATTCTGACTGGAGAGGAAACAAAAACAAAACAAAACCCTCTTGATTTTGATTTTCCACAAATAATCTTCTATAGATTAAGCTCACGATGTAAGCCCAAGAGTATCCCACCTGTCAGTTTACTCTTATCAGATGATCAGTTCTTCTTGTCTTCTACTATTAGAACAGTAAAGGTTAGCCAGCATCTGACTGGAACCCATATACAGAAGAGACAGGATGCTATGATATGACAGCAGCCTGACACATTCCGCCCTGCCAATATTCAAAGACTGGCTCCAAGGAGATGGAAAGACACTGTCTTTAGAATGTTACTCACCAGTAAGTTAGTTTGGAGTTCCTCAGTATAAATTTCTATAGATGGCTTCTTTTAATCCTTTTGAAAGAGTCTTTTGAATATGGACAGGCCGAAATATGTCAGTCTTCTTAAAGCCAATAAAGATTGTTTCCTAGCATCCCGAGATTGGTATGCTGGCCACTCACTCTGAAGGTCCTTTCAGGGTGGAAGTCTTTAGAGGAGAAATCTATGGCCTTGTTCTCTACATCTCAGTCAGAGGCAGGGATCACACAACTTTAACTCTTTTTCTAGTGGCTCCTTATGATCTCTTTCTACTACCACAACCTTTGCAATTGCAGCCAGTAAACAAGAAAAAGTTCCAGTCTTCTACAATGGTTCCCAAACATTTAACTCTTCTTCTACAGAGTTGTTTTATTTATAACCAGTAAATGTACCAGGGTTGCAAGGGCCACAAAAGCTCTTAATTTGATCGATCAAAAAGTTAAAAGATGTTATACAGTTGTGAGATATAGACACTTAGTTCCTGCCCTGTCTGAATGACAACATAGCCAGTGACCCTGTGGGAACTATCTGTGTCATACTGTTTAGAGGGGGACTGTGCAGAGGAGAGGAGAAAGTGCAAACCTATAACATTGTCCTTTAGAATAGTGGTTCCTAACCTTGAGTAACCCAGGTGTTCTTGGACTGCAACTCAAAGAAACCCTGGCCAGCTGAGCTGGTGCTGAAGGCTTCTGGGAATTGCAGTCCAAGAACACCTGAGTTACCCAAGGTTGGGAACCATTCCTTTAGGTTATTCTTCCATAGCATCAAACTGTATCAACTACAAACCTATGTACTCATTAAGGAAGTCTGCTGCCTAAGAAAAGATGCCACTGTAGGTTTCAAACACACCAACACATTAAATTAATTAATATGTGTAGCGAACAGCCCTGACCTCACCTGACTGTCACTGCAGAACACTGACGCAGGAGCCAGAAAGAACGGAAGGCTTTGGCAGGGGGAAGGGGAAAAAGATAAAAAGACCGGTAGAGAAAATCTGGGGGGAGACTGTATGTGGTTTGAAAGGAGAAAAGTGTGAGTTAGAGAACTGAAAGCGTGGAGATTGTGACAAAGGGTTAAAAGAGTTAAGAAAAAGTATTCTAATAGATCCAATATAAGTGATTTACATCCAGTAATTGATTCTATATGTCCTCACTGATTATAGTCTTCCCTTGTTAAATAAATGATTTATGTTTAGTATCACATGTGTCATGATATAAACGCATTAATATCTGATGGCAGCGAGGAGGAAAGAAGAGCGAAAGCCATGTGAAAGCCAGGGGAATAGGGACTTCAAAGGCGATTGTGACAATATGGTTAAAAAATCAAATAACCCAGAGGTTCACACAAATAAGGCCCTCTTAAGTAGCATGCCACTATTTCATGTATCCAGGTTTCATGGTCTTAGAGCTATGTCTCTGAGACAGAAAGACACACTTTAGCCAAAATCCTGTTTGTGCAGGTGTAATGTAAAATTATGACCATGTAAATTTGCTGGGTGTTACATTGGGGCAACAATAAATGGCACAATCAGTTGTGCAATTCCTATTGTGACTGTTGCACAATGAACGGGCAGAAGTGCTTCATGGATGGTACATAGCTATATGGTTACACTCATCTAGCTATGTAATGGGATTTCAGTCAGTGTTTTTGTTGCTCTTATTATAAACATTAAACATTCAGATCTTCTGAAAAACTCTCCTCAGAAAACTGAGCCAAATTCTAAATACAGTGGTGCCTCGCAAGGCGGAATTAATCCATTCCATGGTTAATGCCGTCTAGTGAACATGTTGTCTTCCAAAGTCCGTTTTCCCATAGGAATGCATTGAAATTTAATTAATGCGTTCCTATGGGGCAGAAAAGTCAGAAACCAAAAAGTCAGCAAAAAGTCACTTACGACTGAGCCCAGCTCCTCACAGTGCCTTTGTAGCCCCGGAACAGCCAGAAAAAGAGCACCAAATAGCTGAGAGTCAGCAACCAGCAGGGAGGCATGCTTGGTAAGCCTCCGGAAGCCTCTTAGACCCAGCACCGATCAGCTGAGAGGTGGGGAGAGGGGCAAGCAGGAGTAGAGATGACCACAAAATGGCTGCCGCCTTCCTGCTGGTTGCTGACTCTCAGCTATTTGGCACTCTTTTTCCGGCTGTTCCGGGGCTACAAAGGCACTGTGAGGAGCTGGGCTCAGTCTACTGTACCTGGTAAGTGACTTTTTGCTGACTTTTTTTTGTTTCTGACTTTCCTCCCCATTAATTAAATTTCAATGCATTCCTATGGGAAACACACCTCGCAAGACAAAAAATATCGCAAGAGTCTTGCGAGGCACTAAAAAATTCTCAAGACCCTTTCAGCTTGCGAGTTTTTTGTCCTGCGAGGCATTCGTCTTGCGAGGCACCACTGTACAATTTTCAAAAATAAGGGTGGTGTTCAGCTTCTACATGGGCAGCTTACTAGTCCCTAACCATTATTTTTCTCTTATCCCATGACACAAATAAAGTATTCCTAAAAGTTGATTGTATGCTACAATAGTACTTTCTTTAGTTGTGCATCTTACAGCAAACAGTTACAGATAAAATCCAATGTTTTGAAAGTAAACCTTTACTTATGTCATGGGGCTTTCTCCTCTTCTCTTCCCCACAAGAGCTCTCTGTAGCTTCCACAAATATTCTCTGGACGTTCTATGCACCACCACTCCAGAGGAAATTTTGGGGGAAGACAAGCTGCCCTGAAAATCTGTTCTACTCTTCTTGTCCCACTGAAGAGAGATTTTCCATCAGAAGGAACCTACTATCCAAACAGTTTCTTCCGTCAAAGACCTACACTAATAACATTTACCAAACAGGATATTTTCAATTGTTGCAACCAAATTGCAAATAAAGTTTTTGTTTTGTTTTGTTTCTCTCAGTTATGCTTCTCCTTAAGCTGTTTTCCCTTTTGGTCCCTGTGTAGTGTCTCCCTGACACGCAACTACCAGTGCAACAGTTCTTCCCCCTCCCCGTGAAACCCTTTGTGCCACCTAACAACAGCTGGAGGTTCTCCTGCAATTCCAAACTTTTAGGAATGAGTGGAGAGATTTAGAGGAGTGACACTGCCTCTCTCATGATTCTGCTCATAGAACCAGTTCCCTGGGCAGAATTACCCTCTTGGATCCTGGCTAGTGTCTAGACAGTAGGACAAAAAGCAAGAACTGTGCAGAAAATTAAACCACTGGTGTCCTGCCTATTTACAACTGTGGCTGCTACCAAACTAAACAGGACTAAGATTCGCGAAGGCTTTCACAGCTGGGATCTAATGGTTGTTGTGGGTTTTTCGGGATCTTTGGCTGTATTCTGAAGGTTGTTCTTCCTGATGTTTTGCCAATCTCTGTGGCCAGAAGAACAACCTTCAGAACACGGCCAAAGAGCCCAAAAAACCCACAACAACCAGAACTAAGATTGTTTTGTTTTCAACCACAAATGATCAGGGACTTCTTGACAAACTTTTTATTTAATGAACAAGGGCTCAGTGATTACATCTAAATTTTAACTTAATGCCTAGAGCACAAATAAGCAGTTTATTTCCCCTGTAAGGAAACAAAACAGAACATGTTTTAAAATACCTTAATATATTCACTCCAGTACTGCAGAAGGAGCTGTTGCCCATTTTTTACACGACTAAACAGCTGGTACATCTGGGTCAGATCTGCTATTCTGTTTTCATTAAGAAGATTATCAAGCCCTAAAAGAAGAGAAAAGAACACATCAAAAAAGATCACAATAAGAAGCAGGGCAGAACTTGCAAGTTTAAGCAGAAGCAAAACATAATGGTTACTTGTATAGGCCAGAATCCTGTTGAGGAAATGCACAGAAGAAGGACAGAAGCGCAAATAGAAGCTGTTCCCCACTTGGCAGGTTATTCTTCATATGCCTGGTCACATCCAGAATGCAAAACTAAGCATGTAACAGATCACATGAAGAAAAGCCAGCTGGAAGTACAGTGGTGCCCCGCTAGATGATTACCTTGCAAAACATCGTCGCTAGACAATGAGTTTTTGCGATCGCTATAGCGCTTCGCAAAATGGTGTTTCCTATGGGCTATTTTTGCTGGACGATGTTTCGGACCGTGCTTCACAAGACGGATTTTTTTTTTGGACCAATTTTCACAAGACGACAATTTTGACAGCTGAGTCCGCGACTCGCAAAACAGGTGTTTTCGGGACCATTTTTCGCAAGACAGCTATTTTTACAGCTGATCCGCGCTTCGCAAAACGGTTTCTCTATGGGTGATTTTCGCAAAACAACAACGATTTTTCCCCATTGTAACACATTAAATGGATTTCAATGCATTCCAATGGGGAACCGCATTTCGCAAGATGATGTTTTCACAAGACAACTGTATAGAGAACTGCTCTGCAACTGTGCTTGTGCACATAGATGTTTTTTTTGCAACACGCCTTCCTTCCCGCTATAAATGTACTGTACTGAAAAAGGAAGCAGCTGTGGTGCATCCTGAGAATCACAGTCTGTCGTTTACTGAGCATCTCTGAAGAACTACAATCCCCAGGAAGTACTGCAACAACTTCCTTTTTTGTACATTTACAACAGGAATGAAGGTTCAAGACAGCCATGCAACCTCTGAGATATGCCCTATTCCGATGAGCAAAATGTAGGTGTCTCTCGGTGTGCATTTGTGGGTTGGAATTCCCAGAATTCTACGAGTTGGTGTCCAAAAAACCCCACACAGATGACATATCTCTACTTATCAAAGTCATCTTTTGTTGCAGAATTCACGAAGTTTCAGACACCAGTCATGAACAAAAAATGTCTGAGAGCAAACATGTCCCAACAAATCTCCAGCGTTTTCTTCATGGAGTAAGTTTTCTGTCCCAGCTAATGTAGCTTAATGAGGAAAAATATTTCCATACCATTTGGGGGTGGCGGTGGGGAACCGTGATGCTAAAAAGCAAATGTGATACACTCAGGTTGTCAGGATTCCAAAAGTTACTACATCCAAATGAATGGCCAAACAGTAGAAACATATTTCTCTAAACAAACTACAGAAACTTGTTTAATGATATTTGTAACATGAGTGTGTATAACTACATGAGAAAGATGTTTGTCAATGTGGTTCTTATTGCAAGTAAATTTAGCAGTCAAAACGATAAAAAATGCTTCCAGATGGTCAGTTAAACATTGCACACAAAACTTGAGAGGGTACTATGAAGAGGGTGACAAAGAATGAGAAAAATACAGACATACTCTTATTATAACTAAGTCAAAACATGTGTCCCTGAAATGAAAACCTGTTCTCCTCCTAGTTAGGACTACTTCAGTTTCCCTTCTATTTTGACACTATAAAAATAGTCTAATATTTGGACCTATCAAACCTGTTTTTATAGACTATTATAGTGGTTATATCTACTATATTAAATAAATAAGCAAGGAGGAGGGGGAAAACAATAACTGAATATTCTAATTAGTACAAAAACACACAAAAATGCAATATAAAGTGTATGTGAATGACCCCAAATATGGAAACCCCCGAGATCATTCCAAACCATTAGTGTTTTCTTAATGGCAACAATTCAGCAAACAGCACAGGGGGTGGGGGCAGGATTCTGGTAGGAAAAATAGTCAAGTTACACCCACCCTACTTTCATTCCAGTTACAACTTTCTGTGTGTTTCACTGAACATATGCACAGTGAAAATTAATGTACTTACCTTTTTGGCCTATATGCAACTGGAGAAGTTTGTGACCTGTTATCTGTGCCCAACATGTTTTGCTCTTCATCTTTTAGCACCTCTAGCCCCACTCATGCAGTATTTCCCATATTTATGGATGAAACAAACAGATTTCATGTTTACTATTAATATGGCATCCCTGCTGATGAATATATTTATTTATTTATTTTATATTCTGCCTTTCTCCCAAAAAAAAGACATAAGATGATGTGTATCCCCCAAAAAATATACATATTTATAATCACAATAAATTAAAATATTAACCTTAAACTGTGATTCAAAATATCTTCAACTGACTCTTTCTAGCAGTTCATTCTTAAGTCTATTTTATAAGAATTGTTTATGTGATGTTATAAAGGATCTACCATAAAAACCTCGTGCGCAGTGGTTAAAACGCTGTACTGCAAGCTAAAACTGTGCTCACGACCTGGGGTTCAAATCCCAGGTAGCCGGCTCAAGGTTGACTCAGCCTTCCATCCTTCCGAGGTTGGTAAAATGAGTACCCAGCTTGCTGGGGGGGCAATGTGTAGCCTGTATAATTAAAAAATTGTAAACCGCCCGGAGAGTGCTTGTAGCACTATGGGGCGGTATATAAGTCCAATCAATCAATCAATCAATCAATCAATCAATCAATCAATCAATCAATCAATCAATCAATCAATCAATCAATGGTAAGATTCCTGTTCCCTCAACAGCCTGTCTCAGTGTAATAATGCTGGATTCTGAACAAAGAAGCAGTTAGATGTATACATAGAACCTAGGTTGTAGAGGTCACATTTTAGAAATGCTACTAGGCTGGTGCTTCTTTTTAATGCTCTTTTTTTATTCTATGCTATATTGTTTCCTTCACAAGAGCTACAAAATGTTAGAATGGAAAAACAGCAAACATAAATGAGAGAATGAATTCCCAATTACTTTTTATAAAGTTATAATCTTCTCTGTTTGTTTAGACCCCCTCCCAGACTTCACAATTTTCCAAGAGATGATGACAGCCAGGCACTTAGACGATACACTTCTTAATACACCAATTACTTCAATGCATAAAGTGGTGATGCAATACCATCTCTTGAACTATAACTCTGCGCCTACAACTATGCCTAATTATATGGCCCTGTTGGCTATGGCTTATGGAAGGACACTATTTCTTCCTAAAATAAATATAGGCTCCTCTTATATTCTTAACAAACTAAAATGTTTCAGAGAAGCTCATGGAATACACATCTTTTCCGTGCTACAGAACTAAAGAAGATTTCTACGCTTTTCAGAGGTCCATGACAAAATAAGCAGCTTGAAGAGCATTGGGTGAAGATAGCATTGTCAGCAATTCATTCGTATATGACACTCGCCATTTTTAATGGATTGTGTTTATGAACATATGTACATATTCCCCAGTTTTTATTGCTCTGGAAAAGGGTTGTTTACATTATTTGTGGTCAGTTGCATATGGGAACACTGATCAGCCATCATGTTTTAGGGACATCACAAATTGTATACATCAGCGGCATTTCTTACAATGGTTTTTTCCAAGGCCAAAGAGGTAAAATCTGCGCTGAACTTCCCATAACTTCAAGCAGATTATGCAGCTGTTGGCTAAAAAAAAGCTAATGAGAAAACAAGTACCTTTTTGCAAAATAGCTGCTAAGTGTTCTCCTAACAACTGCCTCTCCACACAAGCAATGAGTGGCTTCCTGTTTAAAGCAAGAAAAACATCCTGTGAATACCTGTAAAGTTTAAGAGGAAGAGTCTTCCACAGGAATGCAGGTGTTTGGTCTTAGTTACAGTTCCAAGGTATTACAATTTTAGATATTTAGAAGTTTTACATACATTATCTCTATTTTAAAGTAAAAATACAAAGTGACATAGCAGAACCAAAGTGTTAAGAAAACGACCCAGCTGTTCCTATGTGAGATCAACCATTGTTCATTTTATTAGGCCTGGTTCACTAATAGAAATGAAAACAACTAAAATATATAAGATGCAATTAACTATATCAATCCTAAAATTAATGTAGTACTGAGACAAGAATAATGACACTAATATTGTACATGTGGAAAGTCTGTGTGCCTATTCAGCTATGATGTAAATTCTAGTATCATTAAAACGTGCACACATATTAAAATAGAGATTAATTTACAATTATACAGAAGGGAAACAAATAAACATCTAGTCTGTCAAGGATATGAGTTTGCAGAATGGAACTGCAAATCCTCATGCTCCTACCTTTTAAATATATAACGTGCCACCAAATAGATTCTGACTCATGGCAACTTTTTCCAGGGTTTTTAAGGCAGAAAATACTCAGAATTGGTTAACCAAATGTCTTGTGAGTCCTGCAGGGGGGCAGTTCTTCTACTTAGTCCTATTGAGATCTTTCCCTTCTCTGCTATATAGCACCAAAGTGCTAGAACAGGCCTAACTTCCACCTTTGATTGCTATGATGCAATGTGGGGCTCCTGAAGAGAGAAACGAACCAAAATGTGTCTTTCTTCTTTTCCTCCCTGCTGAAACCTCCCACCATCATAAAAGGCATGAAATCACATGAAGCACATGCATACCACTTAATCTTAATCCCCATCTCCTGAGTATTAAACACTATTGGGTATTCAAGGAGACTAAGGCTTTGTCCCTATTGTTTTTTCTGTTCAAATCTTCAATATTCCATAGGTCCTGGAAGCCAGTGAGCAAGATACATGGGACAGGGTGAAGTCCCTCCCCCCATTTTCTGTTAATTTAAAAACAAGAACTCCTCTTCATATTTCATGACCGTACCACATTGTTAATTTGGGTTGACAGCATTTTAGTGCCAAATCATGAGTCACCAAGACCAAGCATAGCAACAGAAACAAAGATGATGATATATATCTTTACTATGATTTTGAAAAAGGTTATCCAAAAAGCATGGGAGACACATGAAAAGAACACTAAAATTTAGCTCATAACTGTAGTAAACAAAGGTTTTTCCTTTAACTTTCAGAACAATGTAAAGCAGGGGACAGCCCAGGACTTCTCAAGAAGTAGCATCATGAGTCACATGCCAACAGGGGGTAACCACCCTACTGCCAATATGTGGCCAGGGATATGATTGCCCACCCCATCCCTCACACCACCTCTTCCCAAATGCAATCAGATTAAAAAACGACAACAACAAAACCACCTCTGCTGGTGCTCAGTCTTTCTAAAGCCTCGTTGCAGCAGGAAAGAAGGCAGTGTTTTGGTGAGGGGGAGACTCTGGTGTTGGGGAAGGTAAGCAATGGCCTTCCCACCTCCATGCTCATGGGTACATGAGAAGGAAAAGGGGAAACTGCTGATCTCCAGTTAGCGGTAGTAGGTAAGGGCAAAAGGAAAGTTGGATTGACTGAGAATTCCTGGAGCTGGAAGTTCTCTGTCCTTGACCCATCATTACAGGACCTGTCATTCATATTTTATTTATTTATTTATTTATTTGATTTTTACCCCGCCTTTCTAGACAATGTCTACTCAGGGCGGCTTACACAGATGCTTAAAATGAGCTGACATCAATTTCATGCAACAGATTTATTTCTAAAACTTCAGGAAGTATTTACTTTTATACAGTATGTCCTTCCCAAAGCTCTTGGCTTTTGTTTCTATACTTTCCAAGATAAAACTTTAAAAATTTGGTTTTACTGATGTTAATTTTATTTTAGATATCAAGGGATAATTTTCTACTGAACCACATATTTAAATCAACAGATAACTTGTATTTGAAAAAGATAACAGATACTCACTGTGTGGCATGATCTAAATACGTCACTACCCTATCTGCTTCTTCCTCTAAACGTCTGTTGACATGGTGAAGATATTCTGGGACCTGTCAAATGTAGATATTTGGAAGGGGATGTTATCTTACAGAAAGATTCATGCAGCATTTGGAAGAGTGTGCTCTGGAACAACAACTGTTATTCTCTCATTCAGTCTCACCTCATATAACAATGCAGATAACAGGCACTACTGCCTCTGTTCTTTTACACATCTACGCTAAATTGTACTCTAATTTTCAGTCACAATAAAACCCCAGATGGGTTTGTAAGGAAAAGTAAAATGTTTACCATCTAAACGCCTCTCTATGGATTATGATTTGAAACTCTTTTCATCAACTGAACACAATTAGTGTACTATAATACAATTTTAAATGGAATTGCTAGATCCTTATCTAGCACAAATTAGAGTGAAGAAAGACACTAATATTTTTGCAACAATGAGGAGGATTCAGAAGCACCCACATTGTACACAGGTCAGAAACAGTATGAGCTCTTTAAAAAAAACACGTTTCTGCGGGTCTGCAGCAGATATACTATACATGGCACTAAAAGGGTAACATCAATAAATCTGTTTCCAGAACTTTGCTTCAAACATGCTCATTCAAAAGCTGCATCCAAAAGGACTTCAGCCTCTCTTAGGAGAGTACATACAGTATTCATATTTTAAAAGCACTCTTAACTTTCTTTTTGGGGGGTTTCGGAAGATTTTCACCGTCAATTAAACAGAGGAAAACAAAATTGTTGTGACTGCTTATATAATTAGTATGCAGTCTTGCAGATTTCCTTTTGACATTATCCCCTCAAACATCAGAGACAAATCTCTTAAATATATATTCACAGTATATATTTAATAACTGCTGTAAATAGCCTACTTGACAGAGATAAGACAATGTATTGAACCCTTCATATCATATACTGAAGTGATTCTACCAAGCACAAATCCCACCAGCCACTTAGGTACAAGAGCAACTCCTTTTAAATTCTGTTTAACAGGAAATCAAGGTCCCTAAAATTACTCTACCAAGAGAAACTCAACTTCGTACCTCTCTTGCTTGCATTAACTTTTGCCCTTCTGCAGTATATAAACAGTTTGTGTCTTCCAAAAACCTTTGTTCAAATGAATCTTTGTAAACCTATTGTAGGACAATATAAATTTCATTAATAACTAATCATAGAGAGCAAAATGGCAGTAAAATGTGAAACAGAATGTTTAATGACTAATTTATACAAGACTTAATTGTACAGATTACTTTATAAAATATATAACTGATTCTAAGAACATCCCAGGTGGTTACAATTTGAAACCAAAACAAAGGAGGGGCAGGCAAGAGGAACTTGGAAACCCGAGGGTTCTTTGGCTTTATAATAGGACAGTGGTTCTCAACCTTGAGTAACCCAAGTGTTATAGGACTGCAACTCCCAGAAACCCTGTCCAGCACAGCTAGTGGTAAAGGCTTCTGGGAACTGCAGTCCATGGTTGGCAACCACTATGCTAGGGGTGGAGCAACTGTGGGCTTCCAGGCATCTTGAATTGTTACTCCCATAAACCCTTATTATTGCCTATGCTGGCTGAGTCTGTTGGAAGTTGTAGGTCAAAAATACAACCAGAGAGCAACTAGTATTATCAGTAACAATTCTTCAGTCTTACATGCATGTAAGTGGGAGTCAGCTACACAGAAGTACTGTAATTGGAACTGATTTGTATTATGAACATATATCTGAGAGGGTAGACAAAGGGGAATGGGTTTTATATTATTATTATTTTTATCTTGGCTGAGCCTTAAATATTATTAGATAAAATCAGTATAATAATGAGAATAAAATGTTTTACTTTAATCACATAGTAAAGTAATATTCATTGGCAACTTCTTTGGTAATGCTAATTTGTACAAAACGGTTGAAGACCAACAACTGAAAAATTACGCATGTGTCAGTCAGAGGATAAAGTAAAGCTATTCTGCTTCAGAGATGTTGAATAAATAGAAGATACACAAGAAAACCCACATTATTTCCTCAAAACATCCATCTCAGTGAAGCTGAGAGAATGAATGAGTCTCATATGTAGCAGGCTATTTTTAATATATCTTAATATATCTTATTATATCTTAATATTTAATATATCTTTTAATATATCTTTTATCATAATCACTGGTATAAATGGCGTATCTTCAAAAGGTTAGTGCTTTTTCATGAACTGTTGGTGAGTACTTGGGATGTCAGAGGAGGCCTCACCTCTCTACTCTCATCCAAGGAAGTAGAACACCAAGAGGATATACCTTATACCGCTTGCTGCACATATAAGGCTTCTCTACTTACTTGTAAATCAGACAACATACTTAGCAGACTTCGTAGCAAGCTTCTATCCACAGTTTCACCATTCCGTTCTCGTTCAATCAACAGTAAGATTCCATCAATGGTTTTAGTTTGAACTTGCTTATCGCTAATAATATGGTTTCTAAAAAGTTCTAGTCCCATATCCCTATAAAAACAATAAAGATTAAGAGAAAATCAGTTTGATACTAAATTACATTATCTCAGATTTCTTTTTCATTAGGAACACATGGTGTGGGAATTTGTTACTTTCAAAATGCCTAGACTCTTACAGGACCAAAGGCTGCACAAAACTAAGTTCTGATCTTACAGAACCACACTCATTCTGGCCCCCAAATAATTTTCTTTATATTTTATATTGGAGAAACCTCCTCACACTCCTCTAGCGGTTGCAGGAAGTAATTTCACAAAGTTTTGGCTGATTCCCATTCCCTAAAATGGAAGGAGGGGAAAATGTGATAAAATTGCTGGCTAGAGGGTGAAAGGGAACATTTGAAAACAATCTTTTATACATTTAAAAAAAAAATTGAGTACATGTGGGGGTGCTAGGAGATGCACTTGGGTCCCTAGGGGCTGCATGCCTTTGCTCGTCCGTGCTTTATACCTTTTTGGTATAAAAACGTCCCCTGGAATGTAGACCAGCTGGACCACTTTACTTGCAGTTGCAAAAGAGGCAATCATTCTTATAAGAGCTGCAGATTAGATTTAATTCTGAAGGATCCAGATTCAAGCTCTTATCAATAATAACTGAAAATTTAGAAAGTTATTTCCAACTACTGTGTTCGGAATGGGAAGGATTGTACAAAAGTTGGGAAATCACAAAAAAATGGGGGTGTGGCTAGCTGGGTTGGATTAGCAGCCAGGGCAAAGGCCATGTCTAGAACAGGACCTGAAGTTCACCACTGTATCTTAAAGACATCTTTTACATAGAGAACCACTAACATCATTACCAAACTGAGTCCATCAGAATCTGATTTGCTGATTTTTAGAAAGATCAAGATCCTTCAAAACTAGCTTAATGCTGGTGCATGTGAAACTTCCTGGACTGATGTGGGGGCCAGACAGTAAAAAAAACCTTTAAAAATATTACATTCTAACGTTTAAGTTTAGTTTTTAAGCTAATATTGTACATCTTTGTCACTTCACCCTCAGGAACTGGCCCCAATAGCTTTTGGTAAACTCTTAAAAACTATGAGTGTCATTGAAAGAACTTAGTACATAGCCAAACCAAGTGCTTTCTGTGTCCTGTAACAGAAAACTTTATTTATAGCAGAACACTATGAAAATTTTCACTATAGTAAGTTTCTCAGCTATCAAGCAAATTACACTTTGCCAGTTTCACAGACCTGATTAAAAGAACTTAGAACAAATTAGACCGATTAAAAATATACAGTATTCATTCTTAAATTTTCATAGTTATGTGTATGCCATTGGTGGCATTGGTGGGAGTCCATTTTGGGGGAGCCAAGAAGGAGTTTGTGGCACTCTGCTTCCTAACAGGAGGATCCCCTCTAAAGGATCTTAGGGTTGTGTTTCAAGACTCCAGCACACCCAGGTAGTAGAGAGGCCAAAGTTGTTGTCACTTGTAAGATTAACATGGCAAGCAAGCTAGCTACACAATGGATTATTGCTCTTTGACATTTTAAACCTTTGGAAGCCATGGCCAAAAAAGTCTGCGGCCAATCTCAACCTCTAAAGCCTGTCTTATTTATTGTTAATGTGCTTTTTATGCTGCTTCCCAACAGGCACTGCAGGTGAAAATAAACTCAGGGCACGTCTACACTGGCCCTTTTGGTATGTGCTGGTGTGGTCTAAATAGGGTTGCTTGAACCACAGATACAGCTTCAATCAGCACTTCACACAAGGGCAAAGAAAAAAATTATATCTAATCTAAATGATTTGGTGCTTCAGTGATAGTCTAGCAGACACACACACACAAATAATTTCACAGAGGAGAAGAAGTGTTCTGTTTGCTGATATCCTGAAGTGGCTTGTTTATTAAGCCACTTCACAATACCAGAAATTCAAATCAGGAGGAGTCTTGTCAGGTTCAACAGCTGCCAGACATGTGCTGGGAATGGACTATACCAGAATCCACCAACATGCATCTAAAAAAGTAGAAGCCCCTGACAGAGGCTCAAAAATGTATGGATTGGTGTGCCATGAGGGCAAATTGATCTGCTCCTCATGTGGTTGCCAGGAAAAAAGGCGAACCAATCTACCCACACCAAATAGTGAGACAAAGGCCCATCTGAAGAAGCCCTCAGATGCAGTACCTACCATATAGAAGGTAGCATTGAGTTCTGAAGTACATAGGTACGATCCAAAAACAAAAAGATGCTTCTGATCATGATCTGTAAACAAAAATTCAAAATAGAGTAAATCTCCATTTATATATTGCTTTTACGAACTGCAATTACTTCTATTCTAGCACCACGATCTGGGATTATTATTAATTTAGAATGTTGAATGAATAAGTTGTTTGTCCTTTGCAGAGAACCCGCAGGCAGTAGTTTTCTCAAGAAAAAGGATGCAGAACTACTAGTCTACATAAAAAGCACCCACAAGTAAGAATTACAAGATGTTCTTCTATACTGTACATAAAATTTTAAAGGCAGATGGTGGCAAGCAGTTTACTCTACAGCACAGCACAGTGGCAGTCTATGAGACCATGTTTTCCTTCTGCAAAGCCCCATAATCTAAGTTAGGATGAGTTTGGTATTAATTTTATTAATTTTACTAACAAAAACAACTGTAACACAAACACAGGGGAAAAACTAGTCCTTTGATGCTTAAAGATCAACACATTTATTGTGGTACGTAACACAAACACAGGGGAAAAACTAGTCCAACACTAGATCAACACTAGTCCAACACTAGATCAACACATTTATTGTGGTATAGTATACATTTAGGGGCACCAGTATCCATTTAAACAAATGCATGTTTTCTTAGATGCCTCTCCCTCCTGTCCCCTTTGCTACCCCTTACATAGGTTTAGTTCATACACTTCAGAAACAACACTGGCATGATCTGCTGTATCATAAATTTCTCCAACAGATACATTTTCAAAAGATGGCTCCAGTCTTTTATGCAAATCACAGAACTTGAGCCCCTCCCACAAGAAAATACAGAAGGGGGCTAATTCTCTAATCTATCCCATGTAGATAATGATAATTTTCCCACCTGAAAACAAATCTAGGAAGAGTTATGCTACCTGGGAGCCATATCTATCCTTACTAAAAACAGCAAAGTCAAAGGCACCTATTTTCCTCTTTGCAGGCAAAGATAAGAAAAGAAAAATGTTCATATCATGACTATAGTTGTTTCCAGCTCTGGCTTAAAACTCAGACAGTGCTTCTGTTGTGAACTAGGAAGGATAAATCTAAAATATTTGTGTCCCTCTTAAGGCTTTCCCTCCCCCCTTCCTTTTCCAGTCCCCAGATGATTTTCTTCCAGGTTTAGTAAGTTCTGAAGACATCCTCCTAGAATCTACACCATGGTAGCACGTACCAACTTTTCTGTGAAATGAGGTAACAATTTACACCATCTTAGTTTAGAAATGCAACTAGAAAATGAGTCAGTTGAATTATAAATCTTTAGTTTATTTTTAAGACAATTTTTAGCTTAAAGAAAGAGGTGAGCCCATTCCTGGGTCCCGTGAAAATAAATAAACAAGTTATTGCAATTAATGTAGCTTTTTTTTTCAATGGGTCTACTCTGATTATGCTTAAGTATGGAGCCAATCCACAGACCATAATTAACAAAACCACAGGAAGCACTATAAGGAACTGAACTAAATGCATACTTCTGCAAAGTGGAGAACAAACCCCTTTCCCCCATGTATTCATACTACAGATTATTTTTAAGCAGTATTTAGAGAGGTAGCAACGTTCATTTTTATCAACAATTATAACAAAAATAAAAATGAAACATGTGTGCTTTTGTAGACTAGGAAGTGGATTGTATTCCATGAAAGCTCACATAGAAATAAATCTGCTAGTCTTCAAGTGGTCATACCACTTTTGCTTCATTTTTTGTAACTACAGTATTTCATTTTCTAGGAATCCAATAATATATCCTTTTTACAGTAACCAAATTCAGACAGCAACAATTTTTCCTGTATCTCAACTTCTGAAACACTACCAAACACAGCATAAGTCAATGTTGATTTACCAGAGTCATACAGAATATAACTGGCTTCAACTGTTTTAACTTCTGTAAGCAAAATTAGACATCCACAACAGTCAAGCAAAATAAATTGGCATTTATTACCAGAACCGGCCATTAGAGGGGAGCCAGAGATTGTGCTATGACTACTAGTTAGTGAAGAATACATAGTATGGTCTATGGCCAGTTCTGGTAATGCATGTCAAATATTTTTTTTCTGGTTTTTTTCTCTTTTGCCATGCTATATACATAGTGTTTGCCATGATTTTCAGTATCTGCAGAGAAGGGCTTGGATCCACTCCCCAGCAGATATGAGGGTCTTACTGTACTACAAACTGCACTGACTTACCATTTGTCTGCAGTGATCTTGCCAGCATTTGTTTATTTTCTTTAGAAACAGGAGACTATCAAGAGAATCTGTGCCACAAATGTTAAGGAAAAATATTTTGAGACAGCATATTAATATTTACATTTATATGTATTTAATTGCTCAGAATCCTATTGGTTATTTTTTGGTACATACACACAATAACACATGTCCATACAAAGATAAAATTTAGAGAGACACTTCAGAGATTAAAAAAAGAAATTAGGATCATAGTTTAAAATCCTGAGTGATAATACCTAAAAGGATTTAATACCCCAAACAAGAGCATCTAAATTTGTGCTGTAATGTCCCCATCAAATATTTAGAAAAACATTATAGCAGAGAAGACAGAGGCCCATATACGCTTCCTACAACAATTCCAAAGAAAACTATTTCTCTCCAGACATAGCAATAAATTACCAATCTTTCAACCATCCCTCAAACTTTCAAGAATTGACAACAATAGCTCTTTCACTCTAAAGCACAACTGAATTGCAACTAAACCATATCCCCTTAAAATTGTTTGAAAGAATATATTGGACATATACACAAAAATGGCAGTAGGTATTTTTTTTTTATTTTAGTACTTTCATAATGAAAGAATGATACCACATGCTACAGGTCTAAGATACAAAACAAAATTCTACATTTCACAAGCATCTTAAGCACATGCAATCATGTTCATATGCACATGTATATGCACACCCATATGTCTATATACATACAGACATATAGACACGTAAGTCTTCACACCTATTTTTTATTATCTATGGAGTAATATGCACTTGCAAAGTATATTCATCAGAACTTTGATATATTGTTTGTATTTTGAAGAATAAAAATATGCTAATACTTTTCAATACACATGACAGAAAAATGTGGGAATTTTAAGGTGTTAAACAACTCTGTAGTTGTTGAGGATTTTTGTATATTTTACAATAGCCGTATACTTTTAAAATATGATGCATCAAACTCAAAGTGACACTTTCTGATCGCACATATATGTTCGTTGGCCAGAATCCTATTGGTTATTCATACTGGCATAAATGTGGTGGCATAAATCACAGCAGCAAATTGCCTCCAATCTACAAATTAGTGCTTGTACTCCTCATTACATGCAAAATCACATGACTGTCTCACCCCGAAGAATACAAGCAGTAACATGTTCACTATCAGCAATTCACTATTGGGACTTATGCCACTGCACTGACATCAGCGTAAATAATCAACAGCATTCTGGCCTTTACGTAGGGTTCTGTTGTTGTTGAAGCTTGCAGATACTACAATGTATTATTTTTCACCATTAATAATGTTTGTGTTGCCATTATTTTTAACACAAAAAGGATATTCTCTGAATTGCAGTATTTGTGCTTTCACATGATCTTCACAAACTTGTCTGAGCTGCCTATACAGGGTTGGTGATGCTTTATAAGAACAGACATTTTCAACAGCCTGGAAAACACACATACAAAATAAGTTCAACAAAATAATACAGCCTGCATAAATTATTATGCTAAAAGAAGCACAAAGAAAATACAAGTAAGTATAAAATGCAGGATGGCAGCAAAGTTGACCATGTATAATCCAAGAAACATTTCTGGACCATCCAAGACATTCTGCTGCCTGAGGCAAAGGATAAACTCAAAGGCCAAAACATTTCTTTTCCCAGCTTGCCTTCCACAGAGACAGACCAGACAGACCAGCTGACAGATCTCAGTTCAACATATATGACAGAACAGCATCTGCTCCCAAGGCTACTTTTGAAGGCCATAGAGTTAGATGAGTGACACAAACAATTCTATCATCAGACACCTTACAAGTGTTCCCTGCCTCAAAGCATCTGCCACCTCACCGTGTCTAATGGTAAAACTAGCTCTGAATCACATCGTAACCTACACAGAAAATAGTAAATACAGAGAATAAGCACTGAAGAGCTGTTAGTGAGGTTTGGTTGGATTTTTATTTACAGCCATTCTCTAGAACTAAGGATTCTGTTCACTTTTACACAGCATTCTACCCACCCTGCCATACGTATGCTTGTTTTGCCACCTTCTTTTACTTCCTTCCCCTAAGGCCTAGGTGAGTTTTGGGGCAGAGGAACAAGACACTTGGGAGAAAATATCTTATGGTTGAACAACAATTTAAAACCTATTTAGGACAAGCTTCTGTTATGTCTTCCCTATCTGAAACTATGCCAGGCTCTGGTGAGGATCTTTGGGTATAGTTCCATATAAGCATGTATGAACACAACACTTTCATCATTTAAAAAAAGGTACTATTCATTGAAGCTTCCTGGCATAGGCCAAGCCTCCACCAAGGACATATCACCATGCTATGAAGATTCCTGGACTGTGATACACAACACTGTAGGCAGAAGACACTATGACTGAACACCCAGCTCTGAACACAGAAAGCTAGATATCCGGTGCAAGGGTTTTAGCTAGCCAGTCTTTGATCTGAAATGCTCTTTACATGTAGTTTGACATGCACCAATTGTCCAGGAGGAAAGTTGCCACACAATCTGCTTTTGTTTAAGCTGGCACCTAACATCTCGCCAAAACATATTAACTACAACAGAGAGCTTGGACATGTTAGTGTTAGCACTAAATATCAACATTAAAATGTATGAAGAAAAATAATCCATTAAACAACTAAGAAAATCTATAAAATTAACTAGTTAGGCTACTTATTAATAAAACCCTTTGAACATTAAACAAAAATAATTTACAATTACTAAAACTATGACAGATTATAATGTGAAACTTGGATCATTATTTACAATTTTAATGCAACTCGATGGTCAAGATGATCAGTCTTCATTACTGAAAATGTTAACAGGTTAGGAACAAATTAATTTTAATGAATTATTTACATGCTTTGCCAAAATATCCATCTTGTTCATGTGTTTTTAAAAGTAATGGTAAACTCTTACTTGATAGAGCTCTTCAAGATTATATTTAATGGATGTACTATTCTGAATTGCTCTGACTGCTTCATGAAGTTTCTGCCATGTTTCCTGAGTGTAATTATCCGGCAAAGTGGGCCTCTCTGCAAAACAGATATACTGTAACATTTGGGGGAGACAGCATTTTCCATTCCAAATTTCTACTTCAAAACAAAGACTATAATCATGCAAATATGTTATTTTAAAAAAACAAAAAAGGACTGTAACATTTTACAACAGATAGCATAAGGACAGAGCTCTAAAATTAGACACACAATCTGGTGACTAATTAGATCATACATAGTTTAAAATTAGGAATGCAGTTGATGTAATAAACTTATGCACCCTTCAAACTAGATAATATACTACTCATATAAACCAGGACTACTGTTTTGTACAATTTGCACTGGAGTACAAAAACCTGTATGAGCAAACTTCAAGCACCATCACAATTATGTGCAAAAATGGCTGTTATTATGTGCTAAATTAGGAGGCTTTATCTCCACATGATCAGATATAAAGGCATTCTGAACCAACACACCAGAATCTCTAACCTCAGTTTTATACATACTTGCTTGCAAATAAGTTCCACCAAACCCAAGAGGGATTTACTTCCAAATGAGTATGAATAAGATTAGTTTGCACATGTAGTGCAGGTATACATGTGCAGATATACAAGTGTAGTTTGCTCTTCAACTCATTTCTTGACAAGTTTTGTAAGTCATATTCAGTACCTCATTGTAGTTCTAGGTTTCCAAAATTAACAAGAACCAACAGTTGAGATCCTCTAACTCTGCTGCCTTCACTGTTTTAGTCTTTTTAAACACAGTTTAAGATAGTTTTGTGCATCTGTGTCCATTGATCACTGGCACCCAATAACTCAGTCTCGAATTTCAACACATGAGGCACTGCAGCTTATTGTCTGGGATCATGCACAAACCTAGTGGCTTTAGGCTTTCCCTTTTTTAAAGAATGTAATACTACAACATTCTAGATCCTTCTTGGTACAGAATAATTGCTTATATATTATGTTTTAAAAGTCAACAATCCTCTGAAAAGTGAGCACATGTGAACTGGGAATATTAAAACATTTACTATTAAAACAATAATAAACAAAGGTTGCAACTCTATACACACTGACTTTAAGAACTAAGGTCCACTGAACACACCAGGATTTTCAATGAAACATGAACATAACTGTCCTGGGCGTACAGTAATTGTTACTATAGATTAAATACTTCAAATATACCTACCTTAATTTGGTTCCACCAAACATTGGGCAGGTGGGCTAAATATTTGTGGACAAGTAAGTAATATACTATTAAAGATTTACTAAATCCAGGTTCAGAATAGTGAACTCTTTCGTTTGGATGTTTCTAACTTGGGGGGAAGGGATACATGAGGACAAGTATTAGACTGTGTATACTTTAGGTTTAACTGGATTAGTTGCTTCTTAGCACATTTTAACTATCCCTCTCTTTCAGATGATAACTGAGATTCCAATTTATTAGTGACTGAAACTATGTAACCCATGGCTAGTCATTAGATTGAATTAACCTTGCAGTGTGATTGTTAATAGCCCTCTATCACTAGATAGCTGCTACACACAAAAAATCAGTAGGATATTAGCAATGCATTAGCTAAGACAAGAATCCAAAACTGCCACTAGAGCCAAAGAGGGAAAGAGCTAAAGACAGGCCTAGAGATAGCTGCTACACACAAAAAAATCAGTAGGATATTAGCAATGCATTAGCTAAGACAAGAATCCAAAACTGCCACTAGAGCCAAAGAGGGAAAGAGCTAAAGACAGGCCCAGTGAACACTAAACAGAACCTGTATGAACACTAAACAGAACCTGTATGAACCTGTCCATAATTTATGTGCAATATAATTCTACAAGCATGTTGCATTACACATTCCATCACTTTTAGATGTAAGATTACTTACTATCAGAAAGATGATTTTTTATATAGCAGCATCCTAGTGTGAAAATCTTTTCTTGTTTGTGTTCCTTTTTACACAGGAAGGTAAATTGGGTGGATAGTTTGATGTAATTTTATTCTTTCTATTATTTTATTTGTACATTGTCCAGAGCACTTGTTGAACAGAAGGATAATCCAAAAATATACAGTACTAAATAAATAAATAAAGTCAGGAAAGGACAGTGAATGTCAATTGTCAGCAAGTACAGAGTTCTGTGCTTACAACTGGCTGCCAGGTACTTATCTGACCTAGGCAAACTGCCAAGCACCTTCTCTTCCATTCCTGCATGTCAGGCAAGGAGAATTTGCACAATCCTTAGTCACCGTGATAAAAAGCCACACTCTACATGAGTTTGTACATATGGGTGCATCACTCCCTGCATTCATACATATACTTGAACATGAAAACAAGCACACATCGTGAGGTGCCATACTAACACACAGAAGTACAAAACATTTCTGCTGATTCAAGTAAAGGCAATAGCAATAACACTGTCTTGAATGAAAGATGTAAACCTTGAGAATACACAAATATTTTCATACATAAGGTTCAGCATTCTCTACAGATGACATTCTAGAACATAATTAGAAATGTATTTGAAAAAAGATTTTCTTTAATGTGTCAACCATTAAGAGAACATTACAGGTATTTTTATTATTGATATATTAACTATCAGTATCATGCCAGAGGACTTTAAGTCTTGTTCTTGCCACAAATAAATAAATAAATGATACTATCAGTATCATGCCAGAGGAGTTTAAGTCTTGTTCTTGCCATACTCAAGAGCAAGTGTGTTCTTGCCACACTTACTTTCCACCAATCTATATAAGAAGTCAAGCTTAATCCGTAACAATCTTTCCACCAATCTATATAAGAAGTCAAGTTTAATCCGTAACAATAATAACGGGTGCTGTCAAGTCAATTCTGATTTATCACAACCTTTTTCAGGGCTTTCTAGGTAAAGAGTACTCAAAAGTGGTTTAGCATTTCCTTCTTCTGGAGCATTCTGGGACTGGGCAGTTTGACGAATGCCATACAAGATGGCTCTCCTGGGATGCACAGTGGGGGAACTGAACTCCCAACCAGACACCTAACTCACTGAACTATCCAGCCACCCTCCCTCATAATAACCGCAGTGGTTTGGAACAAGAATGAAAGTTTTCTCCTTAACCATGCAAAGTGTTACTAGGGCTGCCATCTACGGCACTCTCGCCTGAGAGGGTCCTGCTTCCAATAACCCTGCACAGGTTCGCGCTGCAAAGCTATGAAGCCACCTAATGTCTTGATCACAGCTTTTTATGGTGCAACTGCATTTTACAGAACTGTGCAGAGGACATGGCTCTGACAGTTGCCCCTCATTTTGTCGTCCTCCATACGTAAGAAAAGGTGCCCCTACCAAAATCCCCTCTTCTCCACAACTTCTAGAGGCACTCTCCTCTTTTGTTCCCTGCATCCCGTAGGGAACGTTAATACGTAGTGCAAAAACGGATGGGGCTCTTAAACAGCGGAAAGGCAAAAAAAAAAAACAAAAAAAAGTAAGCAAAATCCGGCTGAAGGGAGGACGCTTTTCGAAGTCAATGGGGCAAAAGACAAAAAACCGACACGAGAAGGGTTACTCGGTCGCTCACGTATCCCTCTCTCACACTCACACACCCTGCACGGCCACGGCCGCTGCCTCCACACCCACCTCGGAAGTTCTTGATCACCAATTTCTTGGAGGCACCCCCTCCTCCAGCAGCCCCAGAGCCGGCCGCTCCGCTCCGGGCACCGGCCACAGCCGCCAGGGAAGCGGGCTTGGTGAGTCCGTTGGTGTGCCCCACCAACGTCGAGAAATGGTGCTGTTTCTTCTGGGACTCGCCGGCCATGTTCGATCACATACAAACAAACACACAAACAAACACACACACTCGGGAGTTGGGATCAGGAGATGTCCTTCAGTGTCTCCCTCCCCGCCCTTCTTTACTCCCAGGGACTGAGGTGACCGGGCGAGGGGCGCAACGCCTTCACAAAAGGAGCACGGTTGCTGCGAGTGGGACGCCGCCGTCAGCCCGGTCAGGGAGCCGCATCTTCTTGGTCCCAGCGACCCGGAAAGAGCCAAGAACTGCCTGTCAAGCGCTTGAGAGACGCCAGTCCGAGGCAAGGAAGGGAAGCGGGCGAAAAAGGCCGAAGCGGCACCCTCTTCGTGACCGCAGGACCCCGGGTGAAAAAAAGCCGTGAGGAGACGCCGTCGCCGCGCCCCCCTCCCCCGCGAAGCCTCACAAAATGGCTCCTTCTGCTTCGGCCCGGCGTCCACCAAAGCCGGCGCTATTCCGCGAAGCGCACGGCAGTCAGTGAGGAAAGAGAGCCGAGGCGGCGGCGGCGGCGGCGCCTTCCCAAGCGGCCCGCAGAGCCCTTCCTCCTGGAGGTCCAGGGGAGGAGAGCTTTGCCTCCTTGTCCCGGGACGCGAATTGGGTCAACGCGGGGGGGTGGGGAGAGAGAGAGAGACGGAAGCCGGCCAAGGAAATCCGCCGGTGGCCCCGCGGTGGAGGAGCGTGACCGTCGCCGGGAAGGGCGAGGAGGCCTCCGGGACGGCCCGGCCCTCCTTGCCTAGGAGCAATCCCCGTTGCCCTCAGTTGGGCTGAGTATTGCACCGTGGAAGTGAAGCAGGTTTAACTCGTGGGCTTCCATAAAGGAAGACGGGGTGCTTCTCACCAACCCTTTCCCTCAGGTCAGCTCGGTAGCCGGCTCGGCTCCAGGAAAGGCACGCCCCAATAAACGGGCCAGACCCTTTATTTAGGGGTTGCTGACACACACACACCCCCCGGAGCCTGGCACCTGGAAGAGGTTCCTTGAATTCGCAGAAGCCTTTTTTTTTGGGGGGGGGGTTGCACTAAGTATCCACGGTGAGCAACCCACACTTGAGACTGGCAAACAGAGATTGCAGCTGTAGATGGCTTCGTTTGTGTACGAGTTTATACCTCTCGCACTTACTTTTGTGTCTGAAGGAATATAATTAGACACAGCAGGTCCTCGGGACGAAATTATATAGATTATGGATTGGACCCAATTTCCGTCATACAGTACTTGGCGTAGATGCCTTGAAATCAATATGGCCAAGCAATTTAAAATTACGATGGGTCTATTTTAAGGAAGATTGCAGGATCCAACCCATTCTTTCTGATTTTATATGTAAAGTTAAACATAAACGCTTACGAATTAGACCAGAACAGTCAGTAACAATAGGGAGAAACAACGTAACCTTAGTGCTACTTTAGATCTTGCTTTTATATCCTATTATGCGTTCAGGAAGCATCTTTATACAACTAGTAGGATAACTCAAATAAAATCCCTTTCATGTTAAGCCGAGCGATGGGAGGCTTGCCCCTTAATGAGCTTGGGCATTCCACGGGTCGTAACCCGACTCCCGTTCAATCCGCAGCCAGAAGCAGCTGGGAGCTCCGCCCACTCTCCACTCATTGGGCGCTCTAGGCAGTCGCTTTCCCCAGTGGTGCGGAGGGGGCAGTCACGTGCTGAGGAAGCGGGGGCGGGGTTTTGGCTTGGTGGTAACCAATCGGCGAAGGAGCGGGCTTTCAGGCTCCCGAAAGGACGTTTCTCTAGGGATAAAAGGACCGTTTTGTTTTTTTTTTTTTTTTTTGCTCCTAAGCCTTCCGATATGGACTGAAGCGGGTCCGCTTGGATCGCCTTGGAGAAACCGGGTTCACGGTAGGGCAAACTCAACGAGCAGGAGGTGGGGGTGGAGATGGGCGGGAGGGGCGGTCTGTGCCAACCACTTGTGCGCATGCCTCGTGTGTGTTATGGCCGACCTTTAAAGCACTGGAGACTTTAAAGGCAAGATTTATCTCTGGATTCCCAAATAAATTGGTTTTCACTGTTTGCAAACCTCCCAGGATAGGGCTTCGGCACTAATGGGGTGGTATATTAAATGATTGGTTTTCACTGTTTGCAAACCTCCCAGAATAGGGCTTCGGCACTAATAGGGTGGTATATTAAATAAATAATAAGAGATACCCTTTTCTTTTCAAGGCTTCTACTGTATTAATCATATTGGTCTGTAAAGTGATCGAAAGCTTTTTAATAATAATAATAATGTTTTGAGCATGTGCTTGTCAGTGAGCTTCTTCTCTCCGCTGAATAACTTGTTTTACAATTAATCTTTCTTTCTTTCTTTCTTTCTTTATATATGCCGCCCACTCTACCCAAAGGTCTCTGGGCGGCTTACAACAATTAAAATTCAATTAAAATGCAATAAAAAAGAAAATGATTTAAATACAATTAAAATTGCCATCGTCAATTGTCGGTTCCAGAAGAAGGACCGCCTCTGTGTCTTGTCGACGATCGGATTTAATTTTGATGCAAGCATAGCATTTGATCTAGTAAGCACTTCCAGCGTGTAATAGAGCAATCCTCATCGTCAAATGACGTGCGATTACTTCGTGTTAAGTGATGATATGATTGCTATCCAATCCTTGCCAAAAAATAGCAAGTTGGCAGTGGTATGAAACAGTGCGATGTTTGCATGGAACTAAGCACTGCTCCGTTCTGTAGGAAGTGAACATAGAGTAAGGAAGTAGACTTCAGCCGGGAAAGCTCACCTTAAAATACAGCAGAACGTCTTTAAGGTTCCACAACATTTGTGTCTCTTGCTTGGATTTTGTCTGATCCGCTTGCACAGACTAAGAAGACTACACTTTCAAAAACTAGGTTCCACAACATTTGTGTCTCTTGCTTGGTTTTTGTCTCATCCGCTTGCACAGACTAAGAAGACTATACAGTACTTTCAAAAACTGCAAATATGTTTTGCAGTTTTTCCCCATATAAGTAAACTTAGGTTTGTGTATCCAGACACAAAAACAAAATCATTATGACACCTTAGAATTGCAGATTCTGATATTCTTGTCTCAAAGTGTGAAAACCAGTTTCAGATATCCATGAAAACTTCAGTGCTAAATACCACTTATATAGGGATTTTGGTGTGTGCTATATGAAAGACTGACAATGAAGAAATTCAAATTGTTGGAGCTTTACAGACATGGGTCATCAAAGAGACAAATAAGTGAGTGCCAGGTCAAATAAAATCTGAAATGTCATTAGAAACTAGAATGACTTAGCTGAAGTTCTTGTACCTTCTCATCTGGAGTAAGGCAACCTACAAATGATAAATAGATAAATATAATGAAAAGGCTCACTGGAAAGGACAATAATGTTAGAAGAGAAAGAAGAGGATATATTATGGGATAGATTGACTCAATAGAGGAAACAACAACTTTTAGTTTACAAAACCTGAATGCAACTACAATATTAATAATATTCATTTATTTTAATAACTTCCTTTAGTCTCTGACTTTAGAGAAAGCTGGGATAGAAATGAAATAAATATATAATATTTAAATATCCAGTATAAGGTTTTACAGGGCATATTTAGGCAGACCAAGGAACAGATATTTGCAGTTGCTATTAGCATATCTGTTCCTGTTCACACTGACTTTAAGCTAATGGTGCCAGTGATGTACATTGTGTATCCGATGTTAATGCTTGCAGTTCAAAGCAGAACTTCTTAAATACTGTACTTAAAAGTGGTGGCAAAATTACCATTATACCAGGAGTGGAGAATCTGTGATGTTGTTAGACTCCTTTCCCCATCATTCCTATCTAGTATAGCTGATTATCAAGATTGATGGGGGTTGTGACTTTATCAGCATATGGAATGCCGGTAGTTTTCCATTCCTGCATTGCACAGAAAGTTCTGGTTATTGCTATTAATATGGTATAAAGTCACTTTTTTAGGTGTGAAAAAACGCACAGCATGCTCTCACTTTGAAAGTGATGTTCCCTAGAAGAAAATTAGTTTATTTACTTACACAATACCATGCATCTTTAACATGCTTGAGAAACAGAAGTATAATAATGAAACAAACTTTAAAACCCAGCAATTAATTTCAATAGACAGTAAATTAGTCTTAAAAAGAGTAATGTTCACAGTTTTTAAAAGCCAGTAGAAGCACCTGTATTTGGCAGAATGAAACAAACTTTAAAACCCAGCAATTAATTTCAATAGACAGTAAATTAGTCTTAAAAAGAGTAATGTTCACAGTTTTTAAAAGCCAGTAGAAGCACCTGTATTTGGCAGTGGTTTTGTCTCAGAGTCCTTAGGCAGAAAATGACAAATTCGTTGCTGTTATTTGGACTACAGTTTGAAGAACACCCCATCTAGTATTGCTATTCACTGTGCTGGGTGGAGAGGCCTAGGAGCTGTAGTTCAAAACTGTACTTTCCCAAGCTCTGCCCTGGGAGTCACAGTTCAAGAGGTCCTGCCACCCAGGGGAGTTTGAGAAGCAAAGAGACATTACCGTATTGTTCCATGTATAAGATGATACTTTTATCTAAAATCTTTAAACTAAAAATTGAGGGTTGTCTTATACACAGAAGTAAGGGGGGAAGGGATTGAAGTGCTGCAGGATTGTAGTCCTTTGATTCCCGCAGCCCTTTGATGGCTGCTTTCCCCACTACTTCCTAACCCCCCATGGGGCTTAGGAAGTGGAGGGGAAAAGCAGCGATCACATTTTCTTACTGGGTGTTGAAAAAGTGGGAGTTGTCGTATACATAGAAAAATACAGTACTTCACTCTCTCTTCACTCTCCATCCCTATCACTTCTGAAGGGAAAGACACTCAGCAAAGGCTTCAGTGACAGCCTCCTTGGAGAGACAGATATGAGAGAAGGTGTGTAAGGCTTTCAAGCAGAGACAAGCTAAGACTAATTATTTTGGCATGGGTATTGTGATTGCTAGTTTTACTTTTATTATTTTTCCTGGGTAAGGTGTTCATTTGTTTTTGAACAGCACCTTTTCAATGGCTCACATCAGCATAAACCAGTATTTGCAGCAGGTAAGTGTATTTTAACCATTTGTCACTGTAGTGGTCCATTCATTATTGTGTCCTTTTTTTTTTTAAGGAAGTTGTTGAAGAACAGATTTTCAGAAACTGACATTGTTCTGTTGACTACACATTGAAATAGGATGAGCATTTTTGTCTGATTATTAAGAAATGTTACATGAAATTGTGTACTAAAAGCAATACTCATTTAATAAGTAACTTTAACTGAGCTGCAGTACACTGATGCTGTACATGTTGGTTAAAATCCTGTTGCTTAGTGTAATAAATTGCACTAGAGTAGACCCAGTGAATCGGGGCTGTGATAGGTCAACTCCTTTTTAAGTTCTGATGATTCAAATGGGCTTGCTGTAGTTGCAACTTACTTTAGCATAATAAGTAAGCCTGTTTGAATCAATGGAACTTAGGGAGGAGTTGATTCACTAAATCCCCCTGATCCAGTGGACCTTCTCTGGTGCAACCTACCATATTATGCAACAGGATTTCAGCCACTCTATCCTACACTGAAGCTTAAAAGCCATTTGAAAATAATGTAAACTATTTATGTTTTAAACTGTTTATAAGAAATACTTAATTCCAAGAGAAATATTATTTCTGGGTGATTTAATTTCTTTCTCCCTCCTTCTCAAATAATTAGTTATCTGTTATTTACTATACCTTTTTTGATTGATTGATTGAGAGAGAGAGAGAGTTGGGAGTAACTGTTAAATGAACTGTCTTTCAAATTGGAAGTCCTAGCTTAAATTTCAGCAGAGTGATGCACATGGTGGTTTGTCTTAAACCAGCTACCATCCTTGGCCCCAGTCCCTCCATTTGCATTGTGGGATAACGCTGATCTGTTTCATAAAGTTGTTGCATGGTTTGCTGAGGGGGTGTGGTGTCACTTTTTGACCACTGGAAATAAAAGCCTAACTATTATTTTTATGGCTATTGTATTTTTAATTTCATTACGGGTCTTTGATTAGAAAGAAATGAATTAACAGAATGCGAAATAATTTCAACTACTCGCACCGGATTTCCCTCACTGAAACTTCTTAGTGTCTTTTTTTTTTTCCTGCTGAGGACAGGTCTTGATATTGAGGTGCCCCAATACCAGAGCAAGAAGAAATGTGACATTCCCTTCCAGGAACAGTAGAAGAGTCTCCCCAGCTTCTATAGTAGGCAAAGTGGCCAAAGTGTTGGGTGGCGGGACCTCTTGAACTGTGACTCCCAGCATTCTTCCTCAATAGCTATCCTGGCTGCAACTGATGGGAATTGCCATCTGGAGGCCACGTTTTACCTACCCCCGTAGCAATAATCAGTGTTCATTTGTTTTTTACCTTTACAGGTACTAGAAGCTATTGAGAGCAGAGACGGATTGTTTTGTGCAGAGTTAGTGTCTTTTAAACATCCTCATGTTGCAAATCCTAGACTTCAGGTAAGAGACTAGGGCTGGAGTTTTATTTGGACCTGCCTGGAAACAAGTCATTGAGCTGAATAAAAGATTACCTGCAAGCGTACATAGAAGTGTATGTACTGTACAGTACATTGTGCTTCAGGATAGGCAAAATCATAGAGATGGCGGATGCTTCAGAGATCATCTAGTCCAGTCCTTTACCATGGCAGGAAATCCAGGTTTCTATACGTTAATTATAAATGCATTAGTTATTTGTAAGTGCCTTTATTTTGGCTGTTTCCATTTGGAAGCTGCAAAATAATTGATTTTACTGGTAATCGTTGTGCAGTTATGTGATTCCCTGGGTTAGCTAGTTTCTTCATTAGTTCTACTTTCTCCCAATGATTTTCTTTTCATTAAGGAGCCAGCGGTTTATTGCTTGAACACCCTTGTCTGCTTTCTCCCTTTTATTTTGCTTGTGTTCTCCCCTCACATTTCCTTTCCTAGTAACCTGTTCCACTGATACTGCTATTCAGGAGGCTTTAGCTCTCAGGGTTTGTAAAATATAAAGATGCAACCCAGCAGATATAATATACAAGATAACAGAGTTGTTTCAGTCCATCTTATTGCAATTATTCACACCAGGTCTTGTATGGGCACTGATATTGTACATTTTCTTATGAATTAAATGGGCTGCGGTGGCGGGTTCTAACCCAATACTGGCCAGGCAGATCTAGGTTGTTGGCTTTATATGGGAAGAGTGTGTTCATCTGTTAGGTGGACAATTGATTCAGTAGTCCAGCAAGCCATCAGGCAGCCACCTCCCCAAGAGCTAACCCTGTTCATTATATTTCATTGCATGTACAAACTCTCACTTTTGTTGCCATGTAATTTTATCATTAGCTTTCGTCACCGGAAGAAAAATGTCAACAAGTGTTGGAGCCACCTTATGATGAAATGTTTGCTGCCCACTTAAGGTAAAAAATTTTTTTCTGGAAGTACTCTTCAAAAAATTGTTATGGCACATGTGTGGTATATTTTAAAAAATACATGGACAGAAAGCAAAACAAGCACAGAAGCATTAAAAACAAAAAGTGGTGTGATCTTCGTCCCTTGTGGCCCGCTTGTCTCTCCAAACACAGAGCTCACAAAGGCAAACCAAAACCTCTTGCCACCAGTTGATCTCCTTATCAACATACTTTACTTAGGACAGATTCATTTATTCATTTTATTTATTTATTAGATTTCTACCCCACCTCCCTAGATGTCGTCTACTCGCAGCGGCTTACAGATATCATAAAATATCATAAAAACATCATGAACATTAAACAATTGAATCAATAATATAGTGTATTCAAGATGGGGAATGATAGAAAAGAAGAAGATAGAATTCAAGAATTGACAGAAGAGAAGGCCTGCCTAAAGAGCCAAGTCTTTAAATAGCTCTTGAAAACACCCAGCGAGGGTGCCGGGTGGGTGTTCCATAGTCGAGGGGCCACTGCCGAGAAGGCCCGGTTTCTTGTTCTTTCTTTCCGGACCTCTCTCGGCGTTAGGTTAGATGAAGGTCCATTGAATACTGACTTATTAATAAAACAGGTTTATTGATTACAGATGGTTTCTAGGATAATTCATAAGCATATTCTTTCAGTTTCACCAAGCATCAATATTAATCTTCTGTTTTAAATATCACAGGTTACTAATCACTCCTCAGACCCCAAACTATCCTTCTCTCAGATTCCTAACACAGACTCCTCTGACTCTCTCTCTCTGACTTAGGCTCTCTCAACTCAACTCCGCCTTTTTAACATCTCTAGGCTCCACCTCTCAACCACATTAGCATAGAACATGAATAATACATGACTTATTACCTAACAAAGGATGAATGCTACAAGTGGTGATGATGAAACTCCAGACCGAGGGAAGGGTTGGAGATTTCTGTGTAATTTGCAGGAGGATTGTATTCAACTCCGCCTTTTTAACATCTCTAGGCTGAGGGAAGGGTTGGAGATTTCTGTATATGTATTTCCTTGAAAGCAAGCCCTACCTAACTTGCTTCCCAGGTAGTTTGCATAAGATTAAAGCCTTAAAGGTGCAAGCTAGAAAATAAAAGGTGGCTCACCTATGTATTCTGCTCAAATATGTTTTTAAAATGAAAATAACAAATAGTCACTTTTTTCCATTTAGGAAGACAGATGGAACACACTGGGGTTAGGCAAATAAATACCTCTGAACACAAAAGAATTTCTTGCAAAGTAAATATTGCATGATTGCCCTGTTCTAGCTAATGAAAGTTGTTATAAAGCCTGCCTGTTGGTCGTCATATTATGATTGTCACTATCTTTGTTCTTTTTATAGATGCACCTTTGCAGTTGCTAACCATGATTTTGTAGAAGCTTACAAATGCCAGACAGTCATAGTACAATATCCTTTTCTGGTGACTTTTTTAGAAGATTCCAGTGCAATTCTCAGTTCAGAATCTTCAGAAGAGGCTAAGGAGTGAGAAACATGAATTGCGGACCAGGTTGTGAACTTCATTACATGGGAAAGATAATCCAACACTGTTCTTTACCTTCATAACATGTAGTTAGGCTAATGGAAAGAAAGAGGAATTTTGCAGTCTGGCTATACAGGATGTGCAGCCAGGTTTACATTGCCATTATGTTTGCCACATTATAATAGAAGGGATTGCTGGAGGGGAAAAGGATGCTAGGAAAAGTTGGCGGGGGGGCAGCAGGAAAAGAAGAAGACCAAATATGAGATGGATAGACCTCCATAAAGGAATCTACAGCCTTGGATTTGCAGGAGCTGATCAGAATTGTTGAGGACAGGATATTTTGGGGGTCACTCATTTATCGAATTGCCATAGGTCAGGACAACTTGATGGTAGAAAGGAACTGAGGACAGGATATTTTGGAGGTCACTCATTTATAGAATTGCCATAAGTCAGGACAACTTGATGGTAGAAAGGAACCTACATGTGAAAAGTCCTGGAGTTTACTGCTCCCCGAAACCCATCTCCCATTAGGTGAAGGTCTTCCCATGCTTATTGCTGTCTTATTAGAAATCCCATTGTTATCTGAGATTAGAGAGAAATTACGTTATTTGAAGTTCCCATTTGTCTTCTAGATAAGAAATCCAAGTTACAGGCAAAGTCTATAATTAATGCTGGTACAACAGCAGCATTCCATTTCCCACTCCATTCCTATTCAACTTGGGAAATGTGAATAAGGAATGACAGGTGTGCCTTGTCATTTTTGTTATACCTCTAATTGATATAATGACCAAAAAAACCCTCACTAACTGGAAAATTACACAGAGAAGGGAAACTGAATGATATCACAGAAAGGGATGGGGTTTGGGGAAATTACTAAACTGACTTTATCCTGCCCATCAGCTTGGTCATGGGGACAGTTTGGAGCCCTTAGTGGACACAGTTGCATTTACCCTTAAATGATCAAATTTGTTCTTTTGTAGTCAGTGGCAATAGTGACATAAAGTGCCTTGGGTTTGTGTGGTGGCCATGTCCCTTTCTCAACGGGGAGTCTGGCTACTCTTAGCCATCCCAGCATCCATTTTAAGCTCTTAACAATACATGTTAGTTCACACTGCCTGTTTTCCATTAGTGTTATTATTGATCTTTGATTCTATAATGCATGGTTATGGTACTAAATCTTATGGAAGATAACATTGAATTTTCCTTAATCCCACACATCTTTCTTGAGAGCTTTTCAAGCACACAAAGAAGAAAACTGGTAAGCTGCTTGTTAAAATAAGTATGTGGCTAGAAAATGTTCCAATGAGAATTATGTCACTGCTTAGTAAGAGTGAACATTTTGCTTAGAGGTAAACATGTTTACTTCTCTTGATGTCAAAATACCATTCCATCATCAAAGTATCATCATCAAAACACAATTCGAACTGTAAATGTCTTATCAAAAGCTGTACTTAGGGCTAAGAGAATATTAAATTTACAACAGCAGCCATCACAGCTAAAGCAAAACAAAGTGTGCTGCTTCTCTACCGCCCCATCATGCATAAAGCATTCTCTGGGCAGTTTACAATTTAATTATGCAGGCTACATATTGCCACACACACACCAAATAAACTGAATACTCAGTTTACTGAGCTCGGAAGGATGGAAGTCTGAGACAACCTCGAGCTGGCTACCTGAGCCCATCAAGATTGAACTCAGGTCCTGAGCAGAGTTTTTGACAGCAGTACTGCAGTTTAACCGCTGTGTTCTGAGGTCCCTGGAAGGATTAAATGGGCAGAACTGAAGGGATGTGAGAGAGCTTTGATAAAAGATTTGGGAGTTTGGTAGAACCTTGGATGAGGCACCTGTAAAAGCTGAGGAAGGACTTATGTGTATTGAGGAGGAAAACTTGGTGTTAGAGTTGCTTAAAGAAAAGTTCTTCAGATGGATGAAATTCGCGGAGGTCAGCAGAGGAGAATGCAAAGGGAAACATATCCAAGCTCAGTTTATTAGCTTAAGGCAACACTTGACTTTCTAGCCATTTATTCTACCTGTCAAAGCCTTGTGTTTGGACCTTTGGTATCCACAACAGAAGCCTGATTCCTGAGTAAGAATCTGATGCACCCATCAAATGTTCCTTTGGCACATCTATCCTTAGCAAATCTGGTATCGTCATCATCCTTCTTCCTGGTCCCTGAGCATTGTGGGCAGGCCAAAGAAAAGGCACTAAAGTACAAAAATTGCCGATTTATTGTAATTCTGAACAACCAAGGGGTTGGTGCCATTCCTAGAACTATACAATTAACTCTACAAAGACTAGGGCTCCCTTGTTCATATAGCTAACTATAATTTGCATTTACTTTTCCAGGGCTTTGCCTATTATGTATGCAGTGGCACTTGATCTTCGAATTTTCGCTAATAATGTAAGTAATAGAGGTGAAGGCCTGTCAAAAGATACTCATATATAGTGAGACCAGTAATGTCTGGTGGGGGTAGTGTCTGCTTCAGTATAATAAGTAGGCTGTCTGGTGGATCCTCCATTATCAGCCAGAATGAATCTGTATGTTGAAAATCCATATGGGAAGTGTTCCATCATGTTACTGGCTTATTCTTCAGTGTAGGAGTACTTTGTTGCCTTTTTTTAAAAGAACAGTCTGTCTAGTACGAGCAGTTTCAAATCATTATGATATATTCTTCTAGGTATATCATAACTGATAAAAAAAACTGACGGGAGGACATTGCTCATGAAATACAAGGTCTTTACTTTTTATCAGGGAAAGTATTGATATTATGTCCTTTTACTTTTGAGTAATCAGAGTATATTGTGAGTCACTATGATGTTCTTCTAAAAGAACCACACGACTGAAGAAAAAATTACTAATAACCATTTGGTGACTGTGATATGAGCACTGGAATCTTGTTTGCAGTGGAAGCTGGCTTGCATGGCTTCTACAAAGCAAATGGTTACTAGCAAAGTCAGCTTTTCCTGCAGTGCCGTGTTTTGACTTGAACAAGTTCTTTTTTTTTTCCTTTTTCTTTTTATATGGAAGGAGCAGCTGGCCTGAAGTTGTGTGAAGAGAGACTGAAGAAATCTTATGCTCTAGGCAAAATCCTAGCACTTTGAATTGTATTGAATCATGTGCACTTTACTAGTAGCATGGGCTGTTCTGTAAGAAAAAGGTTTACATCCTTCAGATGCTGTGCTTCAGATACAAGCTTGTTATCTGTTAGAAAAAGGAAAAAGCTTTCGGATATCTTTTATCACAACAGGCTAATCAACGGCTGTAACTTTAACCGGCATTCATATTTCACTTTCATTTACATAAGGCTGTCACAAAAGACTTTTTGTTATGTCACATATAAACATATATGGGTGTGTATTTTATCATGACAGGCTGATCAACAGCTGGCAAAGAAAGGTAAAGGCAAAGTTGGTGACATGTTGGAAAAAGCAGCGGAACTCCTCATGAGCTGTTTCCGAGTATGTGCCAGCGACACGTGAGTTAAATCTCCTCTGTATATCCCAGATTGAAATCCACTAGATAACTTTTCTGGTTGGTAAAATTAAATAAACAAACAAACAAATAAATAATGTGATCGTTTAACAGATGTTCAATATGCAAAGTTGTGTGCATCCTTACCTATGCATGCACTTACATCCAAGCAACAAAAGAGAGCAGTACGTGTTTTTCCTAACCATACATCCTTAAAATGTTTCAGATTCCAGTTTCCATAATCCCCCAACAAATGGCCATACTGACTTGTTGCCCTGGTATGAGTTGTAATTAAAACATCTGGAGAGCACTAGATTGGTGAGGAATGCCGCAAATGGTTTTCCCCCATGCCATCCTTTGTTATAGAATAATTTAATAATGTCATTTATGACGCGAGGTGGTGACTGGCACCAGGGCAATCGATAAGTTGTTAGAGTCTAGAATTGCCATCTCTTTTGCCAGAGATGGTCTTTCTTTTCACAATTACTGATTAGTGAGAAGTCATCATAATCTGCATTTTCTGTGCTGCTTCTGCATTTCCCAATCATACTCTCTGAGATCACTGCATGCAGTAGCATACCAAAGAACTGATAGAACTAACAGAATTAAGAGATCTGAATTTGGTTGGCTAAAGATGGCCCATGACTTTTGGCTGACAGCATAAAATCCCCGTTGACCCATCACAGTTCTGTATAGCTGTACTTCACTGTTGTACTGATCATCACAACCCTCTAGGTTTAGTCATATCTTCTAAACTTTCAGTCAGAAAGAGTCTGTTTTATGGTGGCATCTACTCTAGAATATCCTCCACTCAGAAGTTATTCCTTGAAAATATAAATTAAAATTGCAGAGCATGACTGGGAATCTGTTATGTAGACAAAAATACTTTACTATTGGCCATGCTAACTATGATTTCTGGAGTTGATAACAAAATCATCTACCCCAAGCCTGATTTCCCATCCTCCGCTTAGTACACTGTTGTAATTGTTGCTGTCTTTAATTGCTTCTTTTAAAATAGCAGTTTGAGTCTGATTCTTTTCTGCTTACCGTTACAGTCGAGCTGGCATTGAGGATTCCAAAAAATGGGGCATGCTGTTTCTGGTGAATCAGTTGTTTAAAATTTATTTTAAGGTATGTTCTCAGATCCTTGTCAGGCTTTCTGATTTCATGTGCCTAAATCAAGTGTACTGTTGTGGGTAGACTTCTCTCTGCCAACATCACTGTTTTCCAGATCAACAAGCTTCATTTGTGCAAGCCATTGATACGAGCAATTGACAGCTCAAATCTTAAAGATGAATACAGCATGGCACAGAGGGTTACATATAGATACTACGTTGGACGGAAAGCTATGTTTGATAGTGATTTTAAACAAGGTACTTATTATATTAGGGATGCTGCTTTATCTTTCATGAAGGAGGGGTTGTGCATACTGATGTTTTAAATTGTTTATGTTGATATATCTGTTTGTAATTTGACTGTATAATCAGACATTACACTAGCTTGCAGCCCAGTCTTTTAACAAATCTCTTAACCCTCTGCTGCTGCTTCCTTTGCATCTCATGTTGGTGTTCCTAACTATGGCTAATAGTGTCATAGTATTATTACTGCATTACCAATGTTTTCATTAGGCATAGTAGCAACCATGGTTGGAAGAGTCTGGGCTAATTGTGACTTACGTTAATATCATTGATGACATACAGCTGATTTTAGTGTACCCCAAGACTAAAAAAGAGGAAGAATGTCCGTGTGAGTGTAGAAGAAGGAAAAGAATGCAAGCTTAAGGAGCTTATTTGAAGAATCTATCTCATTCACAATTACTTGCATAGTTAACACTCGCTGGAATTCAGATTTTTCATTGCCACTTGGGAAAGCTGATAGAACTGAGTGTGTTTGTACAGAGCAGTACTATTAAATGTGATTGTAAACCACTTGCCAGTACAGTCTTTATTACTCTCTCTTGTTTTGGCGGTGGAGGCAGAAACCACAACTGATTTTATTTCAGCAAGAAATCTTAGGAAGTTGCCAAATCAGGGACAAAAACCTTTGAGAAGGTTAGCTTTGATAGGGTTATACCGAACCCACATTTGCTATTTATCTCTTACCGGCCATGGTGCCCATCCTTTTTCTGCATTTACAGCTGAAGAGTATCTGTCTTTTGCCTTTGAGCATTGCCATCGCTCCAGCCAGAAAAACAAAAGGATGATCTTGATTTATTTGCTGCCAGTGAAAATGTTGCTGGTAAGTGCCAAATGGATGGATCAGAATTCCTGTGGAAAATAGGGCTTGCATTTACCGAGGTGTTTTCATGGGTGCCTAACATTCATATAAGTTACTGTAGGCCTTATGGCAGTTTGGTGCTCTTAGTGCCAAGCTGAATGACCCCCACTCACCCTCACTTATTCTGTCCTGTGGCCTGCCCGTGATAACCCTTCTATGTTTGTACGAGCTCCAGGTAGGCAGCAAAAGCAATGGTTTTGCTGAGGACGTGATGTTCTGCTATGTATGGCTGGTGAGCAGCCTTTGACTTCTCACATTACAAGCTGTGAAAACCTGAGTCGGTGAAGGAACTTGCAGCTTGCAGAACTCATATTCAGAATAAGCTTGGCCTAGGCTTCCCCACACAGCAGCATTTTCTGTTCTGGGCTTCAGAGAGCCAAACCACCTCAAGGAGTTGGATAGCAGTCTCCCGTTGCCTCCTGTTTCTAGCGCCAATCAGCTGGAGGCTGAGTTCAAAAGAGACTTAGGACAGCCCTGCTGCCATCAGTCAGTCAGTCCGCTAAAATGGTGTACTAAGCAAGAATGATGTGGTGGATTAGGGCTAGCTCCCAGCAGACCTGGATTCCACACAAAGTCAGAAACATTACTCTTTGGGGCTACAATCCCTCCTAGAACACCTCCACCCCCCCAAGATTCTGGGAGTTGTAGTGGGTGGGGGTGGGTAGGCAAACATCTTTAAAGGTTGGCTCCACATCCTGTGACAATACAGCTCTGCACTAGCCTGGCCAGAAACCCCCCCCCCCCCCAGATTCTGGGAGTTGTAGTGGGAGGGGGAGGGTAGGCAAACATCTTTAAAGATTGGCTCCACATCCTGTGGCAATACAGCTCTGCACTAGCCTGGCCAATTCCTCGCTTTAGATATGATCTGCCTCACGCATTTGTTTGTTCAAGTCTCAACTTTGGAAACAATGCAACTG